CGAACGCTCCACAATCGCGGCGGCGCTGAGCCGCATGGCGCGCGCCGGCGCGATGGAGGCGGCCCCGCCGCCGCCGCGCGCGCGACGGCGCAAAGGGCGATCGCGTTGGATTTTCCGCGCGCGCGATGGCCCATCACCTCCGCCCCTGGAAAACGCAACGCGTGCTGCCTTCCGTCGGACGTGCTTCTGAGGCCGCTGGTGTCTTCCATCGAGTCATGGCCGAGTCTCGCCCGCCACTTGCCCTCGCGGTTCCGTGCGAGGTGCGAGGTGGACGTCTGCGCGGTCTACCTGGGGCGGTCAAACGGCGGTTGGGTGGCCAATCCACGTCGGTCAGCGCGCGGTTGGGCGGGCAGTCGGGGGGTCAACTCGGGGGGTCAACGCGCGGCCAGGCGGTTAATGCGGGGCTGGGCGGTCAATTCGGCGCGTCAGATCGGTCGGTCAGAGCGCGGCTGGGTTGTCAACGCGCGGATGGGCGGTCAAACCAGGCGGTTAACTCGGTCGGTCAACGCGCGGCGGGGCGTTCAACCCGCGGCTGGGCGTTCATTTCGGCCGATCAACTCATGCGCGCTTCGGCCGATCAACTGGGCCGGCCACTTTGGCTGATGAGCTCGTCAACGCGTGCTCGTGGTCAACTCGGCCGATCAACTCGGCCGATCAATTCGGTGAACCAACTCGGCCGATCAACTCGGCCGATCAATTTGGCCGATGCCAACTCGGCCGATGCCAACTTGGCCGATCATTTCGGCCGATCGATCCCGCCGATCAATTCAGCTGGGCCGATCGGCCAGTGAACTTGGTCGGTTAAATCGGGCGGCCAGCTCGAGGGCGGGGTCAACTCGGGCGGTCAATTCGGGTGCAGGCGCCCACGCGCGCCGCGGGTGCCTGGGCGCACCCCCCCACGCGCGCCGCGGTCGCATGGGCGCGCCCACCCGCGCTCGCGGTGGATGCCGGATTGTTTCCCGGAAAGGGCGCAGGCTCAGGTTTTTTTTGGGGGGGGGTTGCTCCCGGGTCTGACGGCTGTAGGGCCGGCGAATTTCTTTTTGCGATAAATAACGAGGTCGCGTAGGGCTGGCGAATTAAAATTTCAGGATGACCCTATTGAAACGCTTGTTTTTTTATTTCAGAATGTGTTGAGGATGTCTCGAGCGAAACGCATGTTTTGCGTTATGGATTGTCCTCCCCTGGGGTCCTGAATTCAGAGGATCACTCAAGTGAAATGCTTGTTTTCACGTGCCCAGGTCTTGAGGATGTCTCGAGCGAGACGCTTGGTTTCACGCCTCCAGGTTGCCCAGACAGATGTCTTGCATGAGGATTTGTTGAGGATGTCTCGAACCAGAGGCTCGTTTTCACGCGTGCAGGTCGCCCAGGCGGATATCTAGCATGAGGATGCGTCGAGGAAGTCTCGATCGAAACGCTTGTTTGCACGCGTCCAGGTTGCCCAGGCGGATGTCTAGCACGAGGATGTGCTGAGAATTTCTTGAGCGAAACGCGTGTTTTCACGTGTCCAGGTCGCCCAGGCACAGCACAGCCCTCGGCGCGGTACATCAATATCGATACCCTTAGCATTGCAGCCTGGCGTGTTGCCTGGCACGTTCCGCGGAGCGCCCCGTGGCGTGCCCCCCTAGCACGTCGCGCGGTGCACGTCCATTGGCACATTCCGTAGGGCGTCCCCTTGGCACGTCCCGAGGCGCGTGCCCATGGCACGTCCCCTGGCATGTCGCCCGGCGCGTCCCTTCGGACGTTCCGCGGCGCGCCCTCCCGGCACGTCCCCCTATCTGCTCAGGCAGCTCGAGCTTAAGAGCCAGATCAGTTCGGTCAGGACTCGGATGCAAAAAGGATCCGATCCACAACGCTATATATAGAGCACAATCGCGGCATGGCGCATCGTAGTTCAGCACGGCCAGCACAGCGCACCCGTCCGCACGGTACATCAATATCGATACATTCAACATTGCATTTTGGCACGTTCCTTGGCGCGTTCGCGCGCGCGGCGGCGCTGGGCCGGCGTGCGCAAGGAGACGTAATTGCGGCGGCCCTTGCGCCGCCGCGCGCGCGGCTGCGCTGAGCCGTCCGGCGCAGAAAATCGCAGCGAGGCTGGCTCTGCGTTTCCGCGCGCGCGGTGGCGCTAGGCTGTCGCTCGCGGAGAAACGCAACGGGGGGCGCCTCTGCGCCGCCGCGCGCGCGGCAGGCCTTGGCCGCCGCGCGCTTTAAACGCAGCGCGAGCCGTTCCTGCGCCTCCGCGCGCGTGGCGGCGTTTGTCTGTCGCGCGCGAAGAAATTTGACGATTGCGACTTTTGCGCCGCAGCGCTTGCGGCGGCGCTGGGCTGCTTGCGTATAGAAGCGCAATGGAGGCGGCCCCTGCGCCGCTGCGCGCGCGCGCGGCGCCCGCGGGCCGCCCCGCGCGGAAAGCGCAGCGCGGGCGGCCTCTGCGCCGCCGCGCGCGCGGCGGCGTCCGGGCGTCGCTCGTGGAACAGCGACGGGGCAGCCTCTGCGCCGCTGCGCGCGCGGCGCAGCGTGGGCCGTCTTGCGCGGAGACATCGACGTCGGGTTGTCGTGTCAGTTCCGACGCTACGGCTGTGGGTTTCCACCGTTGGCGTCCAATAGCATCTCGTGGAAACGCGGTCCTGTTGTGGGCTCCCTTGTCTGGTCGTGAACCCTGCTGTGTTCCACGGGCGTTGATGTGCCCAATTGTTTGCCAGCGTATTAGCGCAGGGTGCACCATCTCATCATGCGCGGCGTTTTTTCGCATGTCTTTGAAGGTAGTTTGCGCATGCCGATTTTGTCATGTGCTCAAACGTGTTAGACCGCCGTTTGTCATCGAACCCTGGGAGACGACCTCAGATTGTGCATTTCTAGATGGAAGTCATGCTGGGCCCGCGGTGCAACGAAAACCTGGATCGGAAATTCCGCGTACCAAGCGCACGTCGACGCGACAAAGGGCGAAGCAAGAGCCACGGCGACCGGCGACTACGACGACCCTCCTGACGTCCTTGCGGGCTCCACTTGCCCCCCCAGACAATCCCAACGCTTATCTGTGACTGCAATCTCGTGGCTGTCGGTTGGCTGGATGTTGGCGCCCGTATTCTGCACAAGAGACTTCATGCATGTTCATATGGGGTTGGCATCGACCGAAGGTGTTGCAGGCATGGCAGGAACCAAGTGTTGTCGTATCAACTTGTGTACCTCTAGAGCCACATTTTCACTGTGTAAACGACGGTCTTCTCAGCATCCGGTTGAAGATGAGTGATGGGCACTCTCGGTACCTCTGACGGAGATGTGAAGGATAATATATGCACGCCGCTTCAAGGAAACTTCTCACTCGGCTAGTGTAGCAACGCCGAATGCAGTACCGACGAGGCCATGCGGCCTTCAATTTGTAGGACGTCAAGACTCTTAGCGACGATGTCTGCAAGGTAGACCCTGCCATCAAAGAGTGTGGCGAATTCGAGGAATGGAAGAGGGTGCTTATAGAGCACAGGCTTCAGGCAGGTCGTTCCGATGGGGCACATCGAGGTACCAGTCAGAATCGGAAAGCCCTTGGGCGACTCGGCCGGGCTTCGTCGGGGCGGGCCCGCATGCCCAGAGAGGAGTTAGCCATGGCAGCACTGGGGGCCACGGAACGACGATGCGCAGCGGCATTCGCCGAGCCTTCGTTGGCCGTCGCGGGTGATGTTTGATCGCGTTGACGGCAGTAGTCTTGTTGACAGTCCTCGTTGACAGTCCGCCCCGAGTTCTGCGTGGCCGCAGTTCCGAGATTAAAATGGCGGTTCAATATGACACAAATGTCGCAGATCGTTCGTTCCTCAAGCATTTTGGAGGCGCCTTGCAGACATTTTGAAACCATCATGGAACAATGTTGCAAGCCGTATTGGCCTTTTGGGGGTTTTCTTAAAGGTCTTAGTGAGGCTCCTCTAAGGGGTTTGGGAGATCTTGGCGCCTTCGTAGGATCATCTCGGACCCCGTTGCTTAAAGAAGAGGGCGGCTGCACTCGGGGCCCCCCTCGCGGAACCCTCACACCCGCCTCTCGGGCCCTTCTTGGGGCGCTCTGGGGCGCCTCGTGGGCGCTCTTGGGGCCGTCCTGGGGCCTTCTCTGACCCCTCTTGGGGCTCTCTTGGGCCATCCCGGGGCAATCTTGAGTCCTCAGGCGTCCATCGGAGGCGAAAAGGTGAGAATGCAAGCAACTATGGTTTGCCCTAGGTGTTTGAAGTATGTTGGCTTCTTCGGGGGGTCCTCGGAGAGCTCGGAGAGCACTGCTCTTCATCCCCCTCCTCCGACGAGCTCAAGACGGGTTCAAGACGAGACCGTCTTGAGCCCGTCTTGGGGCCTCTTGGAAGCATATCGGACGCTATCTCAAACCATGTCTGGCTATCTGGAGCCATCTTTGAAGCCGTCTTGGGTTCTCGGAGGCGCATTTGAAACGGTCTTGGGCCATCTTGGACGCTCCACCCCCTGGGCCCACCCCCATCCAGGCCCAGGGAGGGGGGGGTAAACTTTCCCGAAGAGGGGAAGGAGGACCTGGAATAGGAAACGCCCTGGACCACCCGCGCCCAGAGGGCTGGTGGGTGTTCCATGCCCCCTCGCTCCCGTCCTCTCTGCTACGCACGGTTGCCTGATTATACACGAGTTTCTGCTCGCCCCCTTTCTACAATACCTTGAGGAGTGAGGGCCGTTTCGGAGTAAGCAGGCTGGAGGCCCTGATCAGACCACGGGCCCGAGCGGCTGTCAAACGGCATGTTGCTGTTCGCGCTGCTGGGGGGCCTGTCATCCTTCGTGCGTTCCTCTGTCTCCTCCCGATCCTCCTCCTCCCATCCCCCTTCTTCCTCCTCCTGCGCTTCCTCTGCCTGTCGCCCTCGTAGTGCAGCCGGGCGCCTTCTGGGCTAGGCTGCGCGCGGGGACCATACGTTCACGTTGTCGTTCGCCTTCTTATCATGATCATCGTGTGTTGTCTTCCTACTCCATCTCCTTGTCCACCTGGTGCTGCTTCCCCTCTTACCCCCGAGTTCCATCGGCATATTCCAGCTCGAACTGGATAGTCTGAACGGCGGCACCACCGCGAAGATGGTTAGCTCAGTGGCTACGAAGGGCGTGAATCCAGTCCCAGGGGGGGGAGGGCAGGGAGCCAGCATGAGCGAGCAAGCGAGCGTGCGCGGGAGGAGGAGGAGGAGGAGGAGGAGGAGGAGGAGGAGGAGGAGGAGGAGGAGGAGGAGAGCGAGGAGGAGGAGGAGGACCAGTGTGAACCCAAGATTCAGCAACGACGTTGGAACCCACCCTCCCTCCAAGCTCCCTCTCCATAGGCGCCTACAAGGGTTCCTGTCCATTGAGGTACGTGCCCCGTTGGCGGACAATCGTGTGAAAGTCCTGCAGCCTGCCAAAACAGCAGGACTTCAACGCCACGAGTCAACCTGATTGTTGCGTCTTAACGTTCTTGAATGCCAGACCACCAATCCTGAGGTTTGAGCACCGCGCACCAATGCAAATATTGCCCACAGATCATCCTGACCCGCTCCGACACACCATTTCTGGTACGCTGGCCATGAGAACAAGTTAAACCCTTGCAAAGTCTGAACACGAATTTGCGCGGCGCTGAGGCGAGAGCGACATGTCTTGAAAAGGAACCGCCCTCAATCCGTGAAGCTCCTGTAAATGTTTAAAAAGAATATGCGAGGCGCCTAGGCGAGACCCACAGTTTGAATACTAACCGCCCTAAACTCCGTGCATATCTTCGTCACCAAAATGCGCGGCGCCAAGGCTAGAACCACATGGTGAGAACGACCCGCCCTCAACCCGTGAAGCTCGTCCAACGTTTTGGAACGAAAGTGTGCGGCGCTAAGGCGAGAGTCACATCTTTGAACACGACCCGTCCTCATTCCGTGAAGATCTTGCAAGTTGTTGAGACGGCGCTCTTTGGTCACATTTTGGACGCGGCCCGCCCTCCATCTGAAGCGTTTTTCAGTTTTTCAGTTTGAGGCTCATAAGTGGTAAGGAAGTCTCAGGCGACACGCCCGGCCCGCCCTTCTGACTGGCGTCGGGGTGCGACAAGGAGGATATTCCCATAAGGAAAAGGAACGGAGGAGCAGGAGGAGGAGGAGGAGGAGAAGGAGAAGGAGCAGGAGCAGGAGCAGGAGCAGGAGCACGAACAGGAGCAGGCAGGAACAGGAGCAGGAGGACGAGAAGAGAGACAGACAGAGGGAGACAGAGAGGGAGATAGAGAACGAGAGAAATAGAGAGAGAGAGAGAGAGAAAGACATACGCAGGTGAATTTAAGCATTTGGGGGTATGTTAGCTGGGGAGGTGATCTGCGTGCTCTAAACTGCCCCAAACGGCGTGCTGGGATCCAGCCCCCGCGGGCCCAGCACTCCATCAGGCCAAGGCCCTTCGGGCCCAGCACTGCCCAGCACCTTCGAAAACAGCCTCTTCAAACGCAGCGCCCGTTCAGTTCAGCATCAAAAATCAGGCATCAAAAAAATATCATGTTCAAAGGAACGAGCTGAAAAAAAACAGCGTTCACGCGCATCAGTGGTGTAAAATCGAACTCAAAAATCACTGTTGTTGAGACAAACACACTCGAAAAAAATCACCGATTCTGAACCGATGGTTGATTTGGTTGCACGAAAAAACAACAACACACTCCCGCAGAGCACCCACGGCTGCGCTGACATTGCAACATGCACAAGAAATACGCATCAGTTTCCGCAGCCATTTTGGTTTTGCAGCTCGTTTCGTTTGCTCTGCCGTGGCATGATGTGATGGAAAATGACTTGGCACGGGCTTTGCTTACCCATGGGACGTCTGGAGATTCTCTGAGGGGATGCCGAGTTCACTTGACAAAAACTGCGATTGAACATGTTCTGTCGGTGTTTTGTGGACGGCAACCAGCTATTCGCCTGATTTCAAGATTGTCTAACTCTTCTGGGACGTACACAATCCTGGATGTTTGGAGTGCATTACAGATGAGCGCACTTGGAGGGATACCTAACCGTCGAAATACATTATTGGAGATCGATCGGGCAGTCACTCGACACCTCAGAGAGAAGCCTCGTGCTCTGGCGCAACCCTGTACCCCTTCGGCGTCGTATCGTTCTGCGACATCGTCAGAATCCCTGGTCCCAGCTCACGGCCCGAGCATCGGCGACGGCATCCTCGTCGGCGACTGTGAGTCCCCAGGGGCCCCGATGACACCTGGGACGCCCTGCTCTGGTATGTCTTCGTCTTCTTCGTCGTCGTCATTGGCGTCGCAGAGGAGGCGAGAAATGGTGCTGAGTAGTTTGCGCAATATGGATTCTCAACAGATGGCGGACACGATTTGTAAACTTCATGCGTCTCTCGTGTGTGCCAGAACGAACCGCGATAAATGGAGGGCCGACTGTCGAAGCCTACAGCACGTCAATGAGAAACTGAACAAAAAAGTGTCGATATTGGAAAGTAAGCTGGCTCCATCAACATATTATAAGTCTGACAAAGAGTTCGAGGGCAGAAAATTCCACAGGATTTCCGACTCTGGCATGTACCGATTGGGGATCAAGAGGTCTTTGGGGTACCAAAGCTGCGTATCGACTGCCTCAATCCTCGGCGTCCAGACCACCAGGTACACAGTCGCCAAGGCCGAGGAGATTACGAGGGCAGCATTCTATTCGCAGACTCAAGTTTGGTATTACCAGAAGCACGCGATGCTTCGTGAACTTGCTTCCTTCATCCTACTCTATCAGGACCTATGGGGACCCAAATTGGAAAGGAGAAGGAGGAGGAAGAGGAGGAGTGAAGATGAGGGGGAGGAGGAGGAGGAGGAGGAGGAGGAGGAGGAGGAGGAGGAGGAGGAGGAGAAGAGGGAGAAGGACCAGGGGGAGGAGGAGGGGGAGGAGAAGGGAGGAGAAGGGAGGAGAAGGGAGGAGGAGGAGGAGGAGGAGGACGAGGAGGAGGAGGAGGAGCAGCAGCAGCAGCAGCAACAGCGGCAGCAGCAGAGGAGTATTACGAGAGGCACACACCATGTTATCAGATAGGGGCGATGTCGGCACGTACTTGTTGACTCTCTGTGGTGCGCTTAGGCTTTCTTGGGGTCCCTGGGACCATCGGAGGGTGGGGGTGGGGGGAGTCAGATATGTTATCATTGCGCCTTTTTGCATCCTGACATCTTCTGCTGATCGACCCCCGACCCCTACCCCACCCAGCCAGAACGTAGAGCGCCGCAGAGCCACTATCCCCGCCCCCTCGGCCTGCTCATAGCACGTGCATCCCTGTTCGCCCTCATCCACGCTCCGGTCCTCCTCCTCCTCCCCCTCATCCCCCATCCTCCTCCTCCTCCTCCTTCCTCCTTCTCTTCCTCCTCCTCCTCCTCGACTCCTCCTCCTCCTCCTCCTCCTCCTCCTCCTCCTCCTCCTCCTCCTTGTGATGTGCCCGATTTTGACGATCCCTCAGGACAAGCTCGAGGAGCCCCTGCTGAGCTTCAGCCTGCACTCAATATGCGGAGACTCAACGAATTCAGCAGACCGACAATCTCATAAAGTTTTTGCCTCCGACGCTTGGACGAGCTTTCACATTCCGACGCTTCCAAAGCACCTGCACGATCTCCCGGGCGCTGACGTCCTTCTGCCCACCACGGAGTCCATGCATCATTACCCAGATCTGGCATGGAGTGGCATGCGCGATACCGCCGCGATGACTACAGACAAATGGGCCTTTCTTCTTGAAAAAACTGGCATGTATTCTTGGGCATCGTGGCAGATGGCATCGCACTTGATATCCAGCGCCTGCCCAGGCGACGAGAACAACATGCGACAGAGGCTTTCACTTGGAGGCAGCGGCAGCGACATCATACGAATACTTACCTGCATCCAGACGCACCAGGACAGTGGCCACGCCATGTGGAAGCACATCGTTGTGTACCTGGGCGGAACGGACGCTGGTGAGATTGGCGTGAGAAACATCGTCATGCGCACCATGTCGGAGTTTATGTTCATTTGGGTCATCTGGAATTTTTGCTGGATCCACCAAGTGCACCTGGTCGTGAAGAAGGCGATCGCACACTTCGACGGGCTGTACTCACGGATTGCTAAGATGACGAACTGCTGGAGGTCGCCTCACAGGGCTTCTCAGATATATGCGGCATGGTTGCAGGAATACGGCAAGGAAGACGCAGCACGGAGAGCGGGCAGATTGCCTCCACGAGCATTGATCGGTAGATTCGGGGCCACGCTGAAGGCAATCGATTTTTTTTTGCTAGCGTCCAAGGACAAATTGCAGTTCATATATCGCAAGGTTTTCACCAAACGGGACATTCGAAAACGCAACGGTGAGATAGTGGAAGATCCAGACGGAGAAGACTATACCGAGACGCTCGGCCGATGGGAACGAGATGCTGTGAACGCAACCATGGATCATTCAAATTGGACCGAGATGTCATCGCTGTATGTTGCAACTGGGCCCATGACGCACATGTTGTATTGGCTGGAGAAGAAAGCTAGAGACATCAAGCCAAAACTACGGAGGGACGTATTCAATGTTGAGCAGCCGATGGTCACGTCAGTTCTCCAAGATATGGTGTTCACCAAGGTGGACGAGATAGAGGACGAGTTCTACAAGCTGTTCAGTGAGGAAGCCTACGCCGATGCGACGAAGTGGGGTCAAGTATGGGAGTTTGCATCCGCAGGAGGGCTTGACTTAGCCAAGACCCGAGCTTCGTGCATCCAGCTTGCGCTCCAAGAAGCCGCCGACTTCCACATGCGCTTCGCGATTGAGGTCGGGCGCTATCCCTTGAGATTGTTCTGGATGACGCGCCGTTCCCACGACTACGCCTGCAACGCCAGAAGGACTATCAGCAAGGAGCTTCTGGACATTGCCCAGGACGAGGAGCAACGAGGAACGACGCCGTGGAAGATTGGGAAGTGTTGTGCAAGGGAGCTCCAGATCTGTTCTGAGAGTGGCACGTTGCCTTACGACCTGTGGTTATTGTTCGTGGCGATGGCTCGCATGCTCGCGCCTGACACGCAAGAAATAGAAGGCCTCAATTCGATTGTCAAGGTTATCCTCCGAAGGGCCCCTGCCATCGGCCTCGTGCTCTTGTCCGCGCGTCTGACGCTGAAGAAGGAGCTTGCCCGTCT